AGCAATACTACAGTAGTAACAGCAATAGTGATGGTGATCATAGTAATAATGATAATGTAGCAATATTAATAGTGATGCTAGTAATTATGATAGTAATAATAATATAGTAGTAGTAATAATAATAGTGATGATCACAGAAATAATGAAAAAGTAGTAGTAACACCAGTGATAATAGTAATGATGAATAATAATAATAGTGATGCTGCTGCTCATAGTAATAGTAGTAGTAGTAGTAGTGATAATATAATAGTAGTACCACTAGTGATAATAGTAATGGTGATGGTAGTAATAATAATACAGTAGTATAATAGTGGCGCTGATCATAGTAATGATAACTAGTATTCGTGATACTAGTAATGATGATAGTAATAATAATAAAGTAGTAATAGTAATTGTAATGATTATAGGAATAATTAAAAAAGTTGTACTAACACTAGTGCTAATAGTAATGATGAATAATAATAGTAATGATCAGGGTAATATTGATAAAGTAGTGGTAACGCTAATGATACTAGTAGTGGTGATAGCAATAATAATATAATTGTAGCAATACTACGGATAGTAATGGTAATGCTAGGACTAATAATGATAAAGTGGAAGCAACACTAATGATACTATTAATAATGATAGTAATTATGTAGTCGTAGTAACAGTAATAGTAATGATGATGATCGTAGTAATGATAAAGCAGTGGTAAGACTAATGATACTAGTAGTGGTGATGATAACATAGTTGTAGTAACACTAATGATCATAGTAATAAAGATAACCTAGTAATAATAAGACTAATGATACTAGTGATGATAGCAATAATAATGTAGTTGGAGTAGCAACAATAATAAGAGTAATGATGACCATAGAAATAATGGGAAATAGCAGTAATACTAATGATAATAGTAATTCTTATCATAGGAGTGAATGCTAGGTAGTAGTAACGCTGACGATACTAGTAGTGGGGATGGCAGTACTAATAATATAGGAGCAGTAACAATACTAATAGTCATGATGCTGGTCATGGGAATGACGAGCCGGTGGTGAGTGGCAGTGACACTGGCGAGAGCAGTGATGATGACAGCAGTACGATAGCGGTAGCAGCGATGGGGACGATGACAGCACCAGTGCTGTGCCAGCAGTGCCCGTCGGGGGTAGTGGC